AGCCACTATCCATTACTCCATCATGCCTCCTACAACTTATTAAAAAATTTGAAAAATATATTCAAAATTTAAACAGACTGATCTTGTTGGTTAAATTTAACAAAACTTTTTTGGCTACACACACACACACGCACTACTACATGCCTATCTAGATGACTCACGTTAATCTTATCTGACCATAGCTCAATTAGGACTCATTTAAACGCACACGGAAACCTACCAAACTCCATCTGCAACATACTAGTACAAAATACAAGTATAATAGCCTCATCCACATATAAAAAACAATAAAAAAGTAATGGAAGCATTAATAATAAAAAAGAAAATCCAACACTCAATATTAAGTATGAATACAGCCACAATGTGCTGACCATGTTTGGAAAATAAAACTTTCCTATAACTTCAGATACATGCATAAAAATCCCCACACATTCAGTTAAAAATATAAAAAAAAAAACTAAAAATTATCCTTGATGATGGCTAAAAGAATAGCTGAAAGCATTCAGATATGCAGAAACTTCTGGACAGTTTTTACACACTTTGTTTCCAGAAAAGAAAACACTTGTACAAACAAGAAAAATTAAATAAAAAGCTTAATTGAAGTACCTTGTCTGTCGTCTTTAACAAAACATGTATAAAAGAGGCATTGTTGCCTAAATATACAATTATATTTATATCTGGTGTACATTTGACTGATATGACTGAAAGCTTCTTGTATGCTATACATACAGTGGTCAGAACTGATCTTTTCAGTGATATGGACATTTATAGCCACTTGGTTAAATCAAGGGTTTATAACGAGGATAGCTAGTGAATACATAAAATGTACTCACCAAAATCAGAGAATGAAGAGATGTCTATATGGCCAAGAAATGAATAACCAAAGAATTGCTGCTATTTGATTTGAAAAGAAAAAAAATCCCCAAAGTACCAGAATTTATTTACAAGTGTGCCTTACTTCTGTGTGTTTATACATACAGAAGTTCTCATTTGTAGGTGAAAGCCATGGTTTGGTAAAGCAAGTCGTTTTAGCTATAATTCTCAGTTCATTTTGAAGTCATTCTCTATTTTGAGGCTTAAACTCATCATTCATTGGATTAAATTAAATTAAATTCCCAAATGTTTCAGCAATCATATTTTGGTAAACATAGATAAACATGCCCACAATAAGATTTCTCAAAAGGATGTTTTTTTCCTTACTACTGTTATTTTTTTTAACTACCTTCACTCTTTGGCAATGTTTATTGTTTTAAAAAGTGATAATTAGAATTGTAAAAAAACCTAAACATATGAAAGTGAACTTAGACATTTTCCTTGTTCTCAAGAACTGACAAAAGAAATAAACACTATTTATTAGATTGTTTATTTATTTTGTTTGTTGGAGAGTGAGTTATTTTTCTGACAGGTTAAGTGCATTGGGATTTGTGAGATAGTACCTGTGAATCAAGTTTTCGGCATTTCTTTCTGCCCCCAATATTAGAGTTTGAACTTACAGTGATTTGTTCTCTGTGTTGTGGAATTAATCTACGACAAATATTTCCTTTGCTTTCAG